CTTAGAGGTTAACGTCGTTTCTTTTCACTGCTGATGCTTGTTCGGCCATCTGCCTTCGGAACCATCTTCCTGTTTCTCCGATATAATTGCTTTGTCCATAACTGCATCAAACCCCGAATGTTTCTTGCTTCGGTAGTGGGTCTTTCGGTCTCGTAATCTAGCGGTTTATATTTGCCTCCGGTCTGTGCAACTCCAAATACAATAGTCGTGGAAAAGCGAATGACAGCTTCCGACAAGTTCTTAAGGTTGCTCGCAAAATTTGGGGTCGGTAGGATTTAGTATCTCGTCTCGTTTTGCGCAAGAAGTTGTTCGGGTACCTGTTCCCTCTAAGCACACGTTAAATATATTTTAATCTAGCCGCCTTTTCTTCCTGTTAACTACACTGTACCTCCACATGTTGGTATGATGTCCTTGCGTAACTGCGTTTGAGGCTGTTGGGGGGTTGCTGTCGTGTTTAGCGCTTTGCTGAATACTTTGGCTTTTAGGGCACCACACTTTTTGCAACAAATGAGAAAATCCAAAATGGCCAGCTAAATGCCTTCTCCCTCAATCCTAAATTGAATGCCAGAGAGGTCAGCGTTTACGTGTCATTTTAATGTCAGTACTTGATCCTGTTCGATGACAACAAAGGTGCCATCCACACTCTTAGCCCACAATTCCGGTCTTTTGTATCGAAAGACCAAAGATTCCAACTGTTGTAGGACCGCCTCAGTTGCGAGCCCCGAATTTAAAGAATCCATTGACGTACTTTTCACGTACTCGTACATTGTTCCGTTAAACTTGAAGTAACCCTTGGGGATTTGGGCGTGTCTTACTAACTTATCAATTTAATCGTATTTGTGTCTTAAAATTTATTTGATGTTCTCGACTGCCAGGTCCCGCCGAGTAGAAATAAAAAGTAATGTAACATCAAAGAATACCATAATGTCGCTTGACAGGAGAATTAACCCTTCATGTTTCTCTAAGAATTGTGTTGAAGAACTGAATGTAGTATTTGCATCAGTGGGTACAAATTTGGCACACTGAAACGGCTACTTTGCCGACTTCAAAGACTCATTAAATCTCTCTCTAAAAGAGCGGATTTGTACCATTCTCGCCCCATGAACGCGCAGCAGTTAGTCATATTTTGGTCCGTCTTCCAACGATACTTGCGAAGCCTGGTATGGCAATCTTGAAAAAGCACACGGATCATTCTTCTATTATGTTGAAGTACTGCTCGTCTCGCCAACTCAGTGCTTACCGGGGGCTTATAGGAATCACCTCTTCGAGGCTCCTCTGCATAAACACAATTTGCACGTAGGTAGAGGTTTCTCGAAGGGCGAATGTTTCCATCGTCCGGCCGATCGCAGCGCATCGTGTCAAGCTGTTTAAACCCTCTTTCCGGCGATTGTATTTCCTTCTTTGTGACTCATTCGTGGGACTTGCCTTTTCGTTTCTATTCATCATACGGATTGTTGAAGGCCGCGTATTTTCAATTGGTTGTCAAGAAACAGCTCTGTCCCTTCCCTGTTTCTGCATCCATAATCTTCTAATATTTTAAAACGAGTTATCTAATATGCCTATTTTCATATTTACCCATACTCAAAGTTCTGCAAATATGCCAACCTGGCTGCTACCTTTGTTAGCCCATAACGACCCTTATTT